TTGGGGTTTGATCTTCGAACTCAAGCTCAAGGGGCAATTTCATCTATTTTGCTATTTACGGCAGCTTAGGCCCACAGTAGCTGCGGGAAGAAAAAAGGCCCCTACACATGCACATTCTTTGATTTCATTCATTATTAATACAGAGCTAATGTGCCACTTTCTTTTACATATTCTTCTGGTTCCTTCTATGTAATTCATTGCATTTGTTCCTTCTTTGTAATTCAAAAGTTGAAGTAAATCAGAAAATGAACTTTCCTATACATGTAACAACTTAAGCAAGGTTCCCACCAAATTTGCATTTGAGAACTTTCCTCAAGCAAATGAAAAATCATTCTTTTTTGAGAGATTCACTATTATACCCAATATAGGATCCCAAATTATTTATATAAAAAAACCATATATAAAATGAACTTTATAAATACACCCAAAGCCCATTTACAACATAACAAAAAGGCTTTTAACTTTTTTTAAATTATAAAACTGCCATTGATTTCTTAAAACAAACTCAACCCAAAAATCTCATAAAAAAGCCCAAAACACTCAATAGGTCATCAAAGTAATTTAATAATCAAAATTAAATAAAATAGGGCCAGTTATCATTTTTTGGGTTTATTTATATAAATTAAATAGTATAGGGTTTATTTCTAGTTTTAGTGCTAATAATGGGTATATGACTAAATATCTCTTCTTTTTATGTCCATTATATAATTGTTTAGCAATGCTCACACACCTTCAAATACTCAGACGAACAATATAGATAAATACTTAGACAAACAATGTGGCAATGAAAGCATAAAGCCTTCACTTGTTATGACTCAAGTAATGATACTGAAGAAACTTCTGATGGTAAAATCCAAGGCCGATCTTGAGATTTTAAGGGCCCTATTCGAAACTTACATTGGAGTCTTCACATAATCTAACACAAAAATACGAAGAAGAAAATACCATTACTAAATGCAAGACAACAATTTTTTAAAAAAAACTAACAATCATCATAAACAAGTTTTGCCATGAATTATGAATGGAAGTACTATCTTTATGTTTTTTAGTGTTATTTTCTTCTTAAAAAAATTTCAAGACTTTCACATTATGACCCCATGACGTCACAATCCTGCGTCCGCCACTACTAGTACAATATGGTAGTTGGCCCTTCATAACTTCCCTCACAATAACTATTAGTCTATTTGTACTCTAGGGTCTCATAATTCAACCACCTTTATCAAGATTCACATGTAATTAACTTATGCCTTACAATTACTATTAGTCTATTCCACGAGCACAACTAGAACTACATGGAGCAAAAGTGAACGTCGAAATCCAAACTGAGGAAAAAAAATCCAAATCAAGAGAAGAATTGATTCTTAGAGAGACCCCAAAAGATACAGGTACACTTGAGACCACCTGCCAATTATTTATGGTGTGTGGAGCTTTAGGTGGATGATGGATCCACCACGTATATATTGTAGTAATTGGGACTTACAGTTTTAGGGAAAGCATTTTTGCTCATCACTTTAACCCAATGTGTATGTTTACCACCCTTCTTAACACTTGACACGTGTCAATAAGCATAACTATGGTTACATAAATCAAAGTAAAAAAACTAATCATAATTATGCCTATAAATACGTGTCAAGTATTAAGAATAGTGATGAACATACATCTTGGATTAAAGCGGTGGTGAGCAAAAATATTTCACGATATCAAGTTGAAAGAGATCAAGCGCAAGTCCATTTTCTGCACGCAATCGACTAAAAGCGGGTTAGCAGGACTGCAGGTCATCCAAATCTTTAAAGTTTTTTGACCTTCCCTTCCATCAACACCTCCCAGGAGAACTGATATACACGTTTAAAAAACACCGACAAGTCCTCCTATAATTACAAATTGAACATAATAAAATTTTCAGCTACCAACAAGGCATTATTTCAAATGTACGAGAAGAATTTAATTTCTAACTAACACGTACGTGGCATTTAATTTCTCAAGCAGTGGGTGATGAGATATTTCAAACCTTTGTCCCAAAAAAAAAATTCAAACCTAGCAAAAAACAACTTGCAAAAAAACTTTGGCTGGGCAATTTTTTTGTGTTTCATTTTTGGGAGATTCACTATTATACCCAATATATGAGCCCAAATTATAAAAAAATTTATCTGAAATAAATTTTAGAAACACACTCAAAGCTCATTTACAACATAACAAAAAGGCTTTTAACTTCTTTTAAATTACAAAACTGCCATTGATTTCTTAAAACAAACCTAACCTTCATAAAAAAGCCCAATACACTCAATATGGCATCAAAATAATTTAATAATCAAAATTAAATTCAATAGGGCCAGCTGTCATTTTATTGGGAAATATTGGAAAATATTTTTGCTCAGTCACAACAGGATACTTTGTGACATTAACAAGGGCATAACTAAGATCAAAGGAGTGGGCTAAATTTTATTGTTAAAAAAGGCGGGGGGAAAAAGGAGAAAATCCAAATCAATAACCACAATGTAATAACTTAAAAATGGGGCTCTAGCAAGAAAAAACAAATTAGAAGAGAGAAGATAATTATATATAAAAAAAAAAAAAAAAAGATAGGTATACTAGTATGATGGGCCTAGTTGTACTTGGGAATGTTTATTATTCAGTTGCATTAGGTTTATAGTGATGGCCTAATCGTATTTATTTATTTATTTGAAAGGAGTGAGTGCCTTATTTAAAGCCCTTAAATGAGACCCTATATTTTAATCGTTGGATCAATGCTTTAGATAAGATCGTCACTGTAGAATGACTCAGTTGTTGTAATTAGAGCTGGTCTAGATTTTGGAAATATTTTTGCTCACCACTTTAACCCAAGGTCATAGTCATAGTTAACTCTTTGCTTTGTATTTATGGAATCATTGTTATATCAATAGACACGTGTCAAGTGTTAAGAAGGGTGGTGAGGGTACACATTGATTAAAGTGGTGAGCAAAAATGCTTCCGCTGAAATTTTTAATGGTAATGCTAGAGAGACCATCTTTTTTGTACCACAATTGTATACCATCTGATGTGGCATGCCAAATCATTTAGGGTAATGCTAGGGAGACCATCTTTTTGTACCATAATTGTATACCATCTGATGTGGAAGATGATGTGGCATGCCAAATCATTTAATACAATTACATATATTTTAAATTTTCATTCTCCCCTAATTAATACACTGATCCCATAAGATTTATTTATTTATTTATTTTTAATCTTTCCTCTTCTTCCTCCTCCCTCTTACCCTTTTCATACAACAAGGAAAGGTAGTTGATTTGTGATTCTAAATATTATATTATTTCAGATTTACAAGAACAGTATAGTTAGATTTTTGAGGGAGTCCATGAAGATATAAAGTTTTTTTTTATCAGATAAGTAACTTTTTCCACCACATTTTAGGGACTATTTTTTTTTTTTTGGCTGCAAAATTGACCACTAGTTGCAGGCCGTAAGAGACAAAGAACAAAAATTGGCATCCAACATGAGGAAAGGGGTTGATTCTGTGTTTAACACCCATGAAAAATCTGGCAATCATAAAATTGTTGTGGAGAAGACAATGTAGGGAGAGGAAAAAGAGAGAGTGAAGATAAAAAGACTCCTATCGGTAATTGTGCTGTAATTAGGGGATAATAAAATAGATTTAGCTATATGTAATGACTTTTGTGCTTTAATTAGGGGAGAATAAAAATTTAAAATATATGTAACTATATTAAATGATTGAATAATACTAGTCTTACCACATTTTTTATACCACAATTTTATACCACATGATGTGGTGGCTGATGTGTACATACCACATCATGTAAAATACTAGTTTCTATTTTTCTAATTTTATTTATTAAAATACACTTAATTCACTTAACTGATATGACATATGATATGGACATGCCACATCATGTTGTATAGAAATGTGGGATAATAATGTGGTAAGTGTAGCATTACTCTTTTTTAAAGCTAGTTTTGATGGGCTATTAATGACAAAACCCAATAATTATACATGGCAAAAAAGACTTGGGCCGAAACCCTCACTGTGCTAAAGCCCAGGGGAGCCTAAACACAATTCCGCCCTTTTGTACTCTAGGGTCCCATAATTCAACTATTTTCCATGTCATTTCTCAATGAATGGGAATGAAAGATTCATTTTCCACGTTTGGTAATGTCGGAAAGTAACCGGGAGATTTCACTTTGTTTCCTTTCCCATGTTTGTTTTGAGTAGGAATAGAAAACAAAGTTTGTATAATTTTCCAATTATACCCATATTAAATCAAATAAAAAAAAAGAATGCATTTAATGATACGTTGTAATTATAAATTGTTCATAGGGACAAAATAGTCAAGATTCACATGTAATTAACTTATGCCTGCCACATTAGTTGGTTGTCCAGCATCTATATTAATGCTGCCTTACCTTTGCTGTTTTTACCCTGGCACTTTCCTTGTTTTCATCAGTTTACTTATATAGAGGGTTAGTTTACTTATAGCCACTTTCATCAGTTTCTTTCTGCCAATCAATTCATATTCCACCTTTCTTCTGCTCCACCCTGTAAACTGAAAAGCCCCCTAAATTAAACCATAGCAGGTGCCATTGCTGTAAGCTAAACTCTCACTCTCTCTCTCTCAAATCAATCACATCACAGGATCAGTTATGGTTGGAACAAAAGAAGCTCCAGATATGGAGAACCCGACACAGAAAACACAAGGGTTGGTGCATATTTTCTCTCTATTTTTCATATATATATATATATATATATATATAATTCATCGACCATGCATGCATAGGCTGTAACTTGTAAGTATGATGCACGCAGAACCTTAACTTATTTGTTGCGTTACGTTGGGGACAATGACAATTGTTGCAATCTCAGTTTACGCTTTAAAAGCCAATTATCTGCATATATATATATATATATATAACTGATTCTAATGGGTGGTGTGGTGCAATTTGTTGTTTGTTATGTGTTGTTTTCCAGACCGGTTAAAAAGGCTACAATAATGGAAATTTGTAATCCAGAGGGGCCATTCCGTCCAATATGGAGTAAGATATTTTTAATATCGTGTGTGTGTGCTGTCTCACTGGACCCTTTGCTCTTTTACATTCCAATCATCCATCAGCAAAACAAGTGCCTTCGAATGGACACAACGTTGAGGACAGTTGCTCTTCTTTCACGATCAGTCACGGATTTCATTTTCATGGTGCATTTTGTGTATAAAACTACAAATGGACCCTCCAATTCCAAGGCACCACAAACTGGAGAAGGACATTCGGATCCCAAATCAAAAATAAGCGAGTTGATTCGACTTGCAAGGGAAATAGTTCACAACAACTTGCCCTGGTTATCTGTCTCCGTCATAATTGACTTTTTCGCTCTTCTTCCCATCCCGCAAGTAAGACAACTTAAAAAATGAGCCTTCTTTTTTTTAAAGCTCTTAAATATTTATTTAACCAGCTAGTTGTTACTTCTAACCTATTTTTATTTATTTTCTCCAGCTGGTAATAGTAATTCCTTTTTACAACACGAAGGTCTCCCTATATTTTTTGGAGCATAAAAAGATTCTGAATATCTTTCTTCTTAGTCAATATCTACCAAGGATATACCGACTTCACCTATTTTCTAACGAACTCAAAACGACTACTAAAGTGTGGATTAAAGGCCTATTTAATTTCTTTCTCTACATTCTTGCAAGTCATGTAAGTTTCACCTCAATTGTCATTTCATTTTAATTATTTAGTAATTACTGATTTAAAATGAAGTTTTCTTTTAGAAATGTTGGACTCACCAAAGATTTTGTTTGCGCGTTTCAGCCTTGTGGGGTTACTGCTCTCGAACCTCATAGATAGGGCAAATAAGTAGAGTGAGTCTAGTTATCAAGTTCTATTTGTAAATTAATAACATTTGGCTCTTGGAATATATATACATAATTGACTCGTTAAAAACTATTTGTCTGCAAAGAGAGAATCATGTCAAATACTTTCCTTTGTAAATAGTCTTGCTCTTACTACTTGAGCATTTGCCAAACATTTTATGTGTGTATATATATATATAGTTGAGGGATCCTTTCAAATAAAAAATCGTAAGGAATCCTAAATGGTGTCCCTCAAATAAAATTATTTGAAGAAGAAAGAAAGAGGGAGTTTTTCTCTAATCCGGAGATTTTGTTTATCCTGCGGATGTATAGCTTTCAGTTGTACTGATTATATCCAATGCTTGTTTTAGACCCACGTCACATGCGCTCACTCACTCCTGCTTGTTGAAGCATATATACATGAGTACAAAAAGACAAACTTAAAGATGTTGAGGATTTAGATTTCTTTTTCACCTGTCAATAAATTTGCTGAAACAAAAAAGTACAACATGACAAAAAATGATATTAAGATGTATACTTCCTATTCACCGACTGCATGTTTTGCTATAGCATTCTAATGACATTTGCTAGCATATAATTAAGGAAGAAACTGAGGAAACATTGCGTCCGCAGGGTAAACAAAATCCGGATAAGACAAAAACTATATATATTCAAGATAACATTTTGATTTCTCCCTCTCCCGGGCCTACATGATTTTCCTTAATGATCAATTAATCATTGTTAATTAATTTGTCATTTTTTAAGATACTCGGAGCTTTTTGGTACTTCTTTTCTATTCAACGAGAGACATCATGCTGGTACCAGGCCTGTGATCATAGTGCAAATCGCCGGGAATGTCGGAATAGTTTCTATTGCGACAGTACTACTTCAAGAAATATCACATTATTGAACGAGCACTGCCCATTAGATACTCCAGATAATGCTTCGCCGCCATTTAATTTTGGAATATTTCTTGATTCCCTTAAAAATCATAACACGGAGCATATAAAGTTTGGAAAGAAGTTCTTTTACTCTTTTTGGTGGGGCCTGCGAAATCTAAGGTTTGCTTATATATGCATTGACAATCAGCAATTTTTACAAGTAAAGAGTAAAAAGTTATCTACTCAGCAACATGAATTGTTTATATAAAGTCAGCATCTCTGATATTGCTTGATCATGTGACTAATTTTTTGCAGTAACTTTGGCACGAATCTCACAACAAGTACGCATGTGTGGGAAAACTTGTTTGCAATTCTTATTTCTGTCATTGGCTTGCTGCTGTTTTTATACCTCATTGGAAATGTGCAGGTTGGTATATATCTATATTATAATTTTAGACCATTCCTTGAGCTGAATTAATTCAGGGCCTCTGTTGATCCAATGTAACCAAGGTGTGTTTGTGGCGGGGAGACAGACTTTTATGCAGATGGAAGCTACAAAGTCAGAGGAGACAAGACAGAAGAATAAGATGATGATGACAAATATAAGAATATGGACAAAGAATATTCAAGTCCCTACTGAAATGAGAAAAGAAATCATGAATAGCATGACGCAAAACTTGAAAGAACACAAAGATGCTCATCTCGACAATGATTTCTTCTCTATGCTTCCCTTTGAAACTAAAAAATCTCTAAAGCGTCAACTTTGCATGAAACCACTGGAGACAGTATGTTGCTCAATCTCTCCACCTCTCTACATTAATTTATAAATGAATCAATTTTTTTTACTACATATACCCCATTTATATATAGGACTAAAAATGTTGTTCTGATGATATATATATATATATACTGAGCAATGGATTAATGTATGTATATATCTGCTCGCTTGTGTATAGGTAAAAATGCTTAAAGATATGGATGCAAAAGTGTTGCAGTTGATGTGCGACTTTCTGAAGCATGTGATGTATAGCCAGAATAGTTTCGTTTTCCGAAAGGGAGAGCCACTGGATTGCATGTTCATTATTGATGGGAGTATATGGACCTACTCGACAAGTAGTGAAAGTCAATCTGGAAAAGCAACCCCATCAGCAATGACAATGACCACCAAGACGCTCAGGAAAGGTGACATTTATGGGGAAGAGCTTCTCAATTGGGCATCAGACACGTTCTCGGAACTTCCAATCTGCAGCCAGCATGTCAAAAGTCAGACAAAAGCGGAAGTCCTTGTTCTGATGGCCAAGGACTTAGCAACTGTAGTCTCCAAATACCAGCTACTATGGAACCTCAACAACCTTAACGACCCTCAAAGGAAGAAGATGGCTGCTTCGACCATACTGCGCCATTTCCGCCATAGCAAAGCATTGATGTCGTCGTCTAGCCCGCCCCTCCGCCAGCAAAAGCCATCAATTACTATTTGAAGAAACGTTAAAGTACATGCTCAATATTTAATAATTCCTATAGCTCAGTAGCTCTGGCCTCAAAACAATATTAATTGGTTGATATATATATATATATATATATATATTTATATATATTTATTTAGACGTTTCAATAAGATGTTTTAGTTATGAATATGAGTTGTCTAGTATATTATATGATATATATGCAGCATTTTTGTTTATGTTTTTTTTTTTTAAACATGACTTGGGCCACGCTCATGTATATTATATGTTATATATGTCATTTGCGTATTAACTTAGGTTTTGATGTCATTTGATTTGTGCTAATTTGATTTATTTATTTATGGTTAACTTATTTGGTATGAAAACAAGAATGGTGTGTTTAGTAATCAGGCATTGAATTCCACTTATGAAGGATTCCTGCTTTTACTTTACATCTTAGAATTAAAAAGTAAGTGGGGCCCACACAAAATGAGTGGGATGTGGTATTTTAATTTCAGGAGAACTAACCCATTAGGAATTCATTTTTTTTGCCCATTATATCCTCACATAATTTTAAAATTTTAAAATTTGTCATCTACTCTAACACAACAACGAGGACATTTTAGTAAACAACCACCTCCCACCTCCCACTCCTACCTCAATTCTATATGATTTAGTAAACAACTTCAATATGAATCTAAAATCTAACTCTTCTCAATCCATAAGGTTTAGTAAACGACTTCACCTCTCATCACCAACCCATAAGGACTGTCACAACTCCATCGTTTAACGGAGGTCTTGACGGCAACATGGATAGAGGTATGAAATTGGTAATAAAAGTAAACGTTGGGAATGAGAGTGAGAGGAAAAAAACTTTGGGTATCAAAATCAGAATTTTGGGAAACGTGCGAGTAATAAAGTGAAATATATCCTATTAAAAATGAATGAGTTAAAAATTTGTAAGACAGGTGGGGTTATGGAGTGATGACTTTAACTCTCAACAAAGAAAAAAACGAAAGATCAACTACCACAAGTTTTTATACATTGACGTACGCGACGAAGTTAATTGACTAAGATCTTAGTCAATCAGCAACTTGCAAGTTTGATGATGCGGAATACAGTATCATTCAATTCCCGCTAAGGGAATGCTAGCAACCTTCTCTCTAACCTTCTCTTTTGGACATTCTCCCTTCTCTTAATGACATGTGTCATTTTCTCTACACTTAAAACAATGACATTAATTGTAACAAACAATCCTCATGAGTCATGGTCAAAAGCATTGATGTCGTACCTAGGAGGGGAACTACTACTGTTTATATTAATTACTATACGTAGGGAGGACAGAACCAATTAGCTGCGTGGTAGCTGGCTAGTTGTATTAATTTGTCTAAATACAATATTAGTATATATAGAGCTTCTTGGTTCAGTGGGCAATGGGTCTCTTTTTAATGTTTCTTTTCGTCATTCTTCTGACTACTCTGGTGATGGTTGCAATTTGTTGTTTGTTTTTCCAGTCCAGTTAAAACGCGGATCGATGTATGCCACACCACACACAATGAAGAAAATATGTAATCCAGAGGGGCAATACTGTCATATATGGAATAAGATGTTTGTAACACCGTGTGTGTTTTCTGTCTCACTGGACCCTTTGTTCTTTTACATTCTAATCATCGATCAGCAAAACAAGTGCCTTCAAATGGAAACAGTGTTGCAGACTGTTGCTCTTCTTTTAGATCAATCACGGATATCATTTTCTTGGTGCATTTCATACATGAAATCTGTGATGGTGTCAAAACTTAAATACCCTATCCATATATATAACTAGCTAGCTCTAATAGCTAACCTATTTTTATTTATTTTCTCCAGCTGCTAATTAGTTACTTTCTACAATATGAGAGGCTCTCCATATTTGGAACATAGATATATACCAAGGATATTCCGAATTCACCTCTCGTATAATCACTTCAAGAACACTACTGAATATGGATTAAAAGCCTATTCAATTTTTTTTCTCTACATTCTTGCAAGTCAGGTAAGTTATTTCACCTTAATTATCATTTCTTTTTATTTCTTTGGTAAGTAGAGTGAACCTAGTTGTCAAGTTCTATTCTGTAAATGAACACTATTTGGCTCCTATATATATATATACATAATTGACTCGTTAAAGACTTAAAAACGTTAACACACTGTTAAATTGTGATTTGTTTACGAGAAGAAATTGGTTCATAGCTCTTACTACTTGAGCAGACGTTCCATGTAGATTGGGCTAAGTGGTGTTTAATAAAGCTACATATATATACATTATATAAAAGTACCCGCAAACTTATTTTGTCACCAATTTTTATAAGATTTTATTTTATTTTATTTTTATTTTTTGGTGTGGACATTTCATAAGAAATTTGTTAATTTTTAGGTACTCGGAGCTTTTTGGTACTTCTTTGTTGCTTCTGCTGTGCCGGCATACCCCATATCGTCACTACTACAAAAAGTGACAAAGACGACCAGAAAAAAA